CATGGCATCTTCCGATATGTCTAGCTAGCCCCGACTGCGATGGACCAACCGGGAAGCACACCGTCATCGATGCGGCACATGGATTGAGGCTGAGCAACTCAGAGCGAAACTCTTTCCGCAACACCGGGGATGAGAAACATCGGGCCAAGTGGCGATCTACCTACCTCGCGGAGCAGAATCGCCTCGTGCCAATACACACAGCGCAGCCCGCTCCAGACCCCTTCCCGTGTCTTGCTTGCACCCACCCTTTGGCGGCCTCTGCAGTCCTCCCGTCGTCGCGATGTGCAGCTCAACAACATCCGAGATGCCATCCGGCGGCAACATTTCACAACCTCCCAACGGTAGCCAACCCACCCGACCATCAAACGAACGCAGAAAGAGGTAACCCAACTGCCGCAGCCTGCCCCCTCCTTCGCTGTCATTGAGGCAGTGCATCGCGGGGTTGTTTCAATCGCACCAACCACCACGTGCGATGTGCAGCTCGCTCCGGGCGAGACTATTGGATGTCATTGGCGTGCCCGAAACCTCAATAGCTCCAACGTTGTTTACTCAGCACTCTGCTAATGAACCCCCATCTAGTATTCTTTCGGTTGGTTGTACAGGATACGCCATGTTTCCCGCCAAAGGCGCTTGTCCAGAAAGCTCATGTTTTGTTTGTGTTCGTCCAAGCCCCCTTTCGTCTGCTCAATCAGAAACAAATGTCTCGAACAATTCAATATGCGCCAGCGACGTTCTGCCCCAAAATTCGGCCCTTTAGACTTGGAACCCCTTCTTGGCAGAAATATTGGCTATTTGTCCAACCCCGATTGAGTCTTAGTTCCCGCTTGCTTGGCAGGAGATCGTAACTCTTGGCAACGCAACATCACAAGAATCTCACTGTGTCGTTGTTGATGCAAGTCGAAAGTCTGGTTGAGGTGAAATTTGTCACGATCTCTGCCTCACCTGTTAAGTGATGTTCATGCGGCTGTTATCGCAAAAAGGTGACTTCGGGAGTCCCGCTTGCGTATATCAAAAGTTTTCAACATGCGTTGCGGTGGAGAAAAGGTGACACTTGAGCTGTGTTGATTGATGTTGTCTACTGCCAGACGTTCTGCCTTGCCAATCTGCCTGCAGTTATGCATGCGTTATCATCGTAGCATCATCTTAGCATGGTCGCCGCGAGGTTGTCGGAATTTCAAATCCAAAGAGTCATGTAATTTTGTCTATTCCGAAACTCGAATGCTTTTTAATCTGCCTTGTATCATTCGAAGCCTGTAACCATTCACGTCTGCCATCCCCCGAGGCCAAGCCAAAAGAACGCCTTATCATCCAAGCCATATTGCAAGGCTCACTTCACTCACTTGCTTACCGTCTGCCGAGGTCAACCTTTCTGACGTGGACCATCTCGCCCGTTCTCTCTCCCTCTGCCGCTTCGACACCAAAGAAGCCTCCGACAGACCTCCTCAGCGTCTCCTCCCAGAACCCAGCAACAACTCCCTTCAGATCTCCTCCCGTTTGCTTGAAGTCGGGGAACGAGTTGACCTCAAGCAACCACGGCCTCGCCTCGGCGTCCACCAAGAAGTCCAGCCCAAACACCTCAAACGCATTGCCCAAAGGCTGGAAGTGAATCGTCATCTCCCTGGCCGCAGCCTCAAAGATGTCGCCCGTAACCTCGCAAATCCGCTTGAAGATGCTCTCCGCCCGGCCCTCCGCCAAGCCCTGGCCCTTCACAAGGTCCCAGAACTGCTTGACCGGAGGCAAGGCAGACTCCCCGCCCTGGAGACACGTGTTCGTGAGATGCCCGTCGAGATCCGCATCCTCCCACGGCGCCTTGTACGCCTTGCCCGCGAACAGCGCCAGCATAGGCCTGTACACGTAGACGTCCAGGCTGCCCACGCACAACACGTACGTGCGGATGTGAAACTTTCTCGCGTCGCCGGGGAGCAGCAGGGGAGGATGGATGTACGGCTGGACCACAAAGTGCCGCAGGTGCGAAGTCGTAATGTAATCCCCGCCGCTTCCCTCTGCCTCTTCGTCTCCCTCATCCTCGTCGTCGCTGTCAGGCCTCTCCTCCTCCCACTCGTCAAAGACGCCCTGCAGCTCCTCCATCGAGCTGAACAGCCTGATGCCCTGCCCGCGGTCACTCATGCCCGGCTTCAGAATCCACCACTCCCTCTTGTCGGCGTCCTCGACGGCGTCGTTGCGGTCCATGCTCTCGCGGAGATCAAACGCCTCGACGAGCGCGTCGTCGAGGAACTCGGCGTAGTCAACCTCGAAATGCTCGCCCCGCTGCACGTGCGTCTTGAGGGCCGAGTCGGGGTGCTTCGCGACCCAGTGGTCGACCGTCGCGGAGAGATAATGTTTGCGGATGAGGGCCTTGCGGATAACGTAGCTGTTGACGAGGGCGGTGGACGGGTGTTCGGCAACGTGATCGAAGTCTAGTGACTCGTAGGGAGCGATATGGAGAATGCGGGTGTCCTTGGTAGGAAGAACGGCAGCCAGAGAGGGTGCGTCGTCGGTAGTTGTGTCGGCCTCTGGCGGCGGGAGGAGCGAGTACTTGTTCGGGAACAGGCGTTCCATGGCCTCGAGGATCAGAGGCTGGACATATGGGTCTTCGTAGTTGATGATGGCGTGAAACTCTGGTGTCGAAGATGGCTGCAAAGGGCCGGTCCTTATGGGAAGCTCAGTGATGAAGGCGACCTGCTCCTTGGGCCCATCACTGTGAGGGCTATCACTACAGACAGACAGAGGTAAGAAACTGTTCGGTCTATTGTATGCAAAAAAGCGACTGAGAGCGTAGAGTACATGCTGAGCTGCCGTCCTCTATTGTCATGATCATGCCTTTGTTCCCGCCTGTTCATGCTTATGGAGTGTAAAAATGTCCCGGCACCCTACCCGGCTCTTCGCCATGTCGTGTTCTCACCATGCTCGTTTCTCTATGCATCTCTCGAATGACCAAGGGCTCACTTACAGAATCAGTTCCTTCTTGTGCAGATGCTGCGCAGGCTGCAAGAAGTTGGCCTTCAGGGGCGTCACACTGCAAGTGCTGTTAGTAACATGTGAACACCTATTAAGGAGCATCGACATACCTCGTGTAGCCCTCCTTGACAGCCCAGCCGTCGTTGCCAGGCTCTGCTTCTTCAACGCTCTTGTACACGTCCGTGAACTTGGGTGCCCATTTGAAGTGTCTTTGGCGGTGAGCAGGAGTCTTTTTGCCCTCGCCCTTCTGCTCAGGAGCATCTTCGCCGCCAATTGCTTCGCCAAAATCACCCTCGCGAATCTTCTCCTCCTCCTCATCCTCGTCACCAACGTCGCCCTCAATCTCCTGGAAGCAGCTGCCCTCGCGCCAGTAGTTCTGCAGCATGGCCGTGTAGAGCGTCTTGTGAGTCTCAACACCCTCGACAAGCGGCACGTTGACACTGTATAGGTCAACCTCGTCACTAGCAGGCCACTGCTCATACAGTTTCTCAATGACCTTCACCGAGTGCCTCGCGGCGCCCTCGATAATGACAGGGTCATGGTTCCGCGAGAAGAAGGCATAGCTGAGCGCGATGGACTTGCGCTTGCAGACCGCCGCCTCGAGCGCGCCGCCCAAAGTTCCCGAGCTGAGCGCAAAGACAGCTGTGGTATTGCGGCCGTAGTTGGGACCGCTGACAACGAGATCGATAGGTCCACGTTCCTTGAAGAAGTGGTGCAGGCCGATTTGAACGCACGAGGCCGGTGTACCATCAACCAGAATCCATTCGTCCTCGCCGGCGGTGGCGGTAGGACGTGTCGAGGTGGTGCCTTCAGTGCCGTGAAGACCTTCGGCGGAGGGGCGGTAGTAGAGGGGCTTCACGGTCTGACCGATGATGTGCGCCTTACCGATCCAGGAGCGCTGGGTGTGCGGGAGGCAGACAGAGACGGCATGGCCGGCTTTTTGAAGGTAGTGGATGAGGGAGTGGACGTAGGGGGAGGAGTGTGCAGACGGCGGGCCGTCGTCGTTGGTAAGGAGGATGTGCATCTTGGTGATGACGAAGTTCAATCTCGTTTCCGAAATGGGTTGAATGAGTTCTAGGACAAGAGAGGCGCAGAGCGAAAAGGATACAAAGTGAGATTGAAGTTAAGATTTCGGGTTGGAGAGATGCCCCGCGGCTGGAGGTCTTGGCAAAGGTCACAGGCGGCCGACAGACCTGCAATGACAAAGCTCAAGAACGTCAATGAGGTAACCCCGAGGTAAAAGGGACCTGGGAGCTCTGTTCCAGAGTTAATGGAGCCCTGAGGTGATGAGTCGTGAGTTACATAAAGGAAAGAAGTCGGATAAATTTCCTGACCAGACGGCACAGAGTCTAGGCGGGATGGAGGGGTTGCAATAGTGGGGCATGTTGACGTTAGTTGGACCGGCAGACTTCCGTCCCCGCTCTCGGAGCCAAACGGCGGGCAACATCGGGCCTGACTACCTACCTTAACCTTGCCTCACATACCAACAGCTTGCCCGAACCCGACCTAACGTACGTGGCTGCCCGCTTGGCCTACATGGTCACGCATTCAATTAGGTGCAGTAGACTCGGGCTGTAATGGATAGCCGAAGTCGCTGGTCAATACCGCATTGTGGTCACGTCTCGATGCAGCTCTCAAAGATGCTATGGAAATCATTCTTGTCCTAGTCTGCAGATTTCGGAGAACCTGGCCTGGTCCTCTAATACATGAATATCAGTCCTTCATACACGGCTTAACCAACGCCAAAGCCCGAGCTGATCATCCTCTGCTCCCGTAAGAATCTTCCGATCGTCCATCGTCCATACAAGTTTACCAGTGTTAAAAAGGGGACCCAAGTCGTAGGTGCTGCCTACTGCCAGTACTCACTGGCCAACTTGTCCCTAGTCCAGAAAGTGAAATACCTAACCATTACACAAAAGCTTATCGAGAATTGTGCTTTTTCATCCCATGACCCTGAACCTGACCGAAGCTGCAGTAGTCTCATGGCTCAAAATGCCAGAGAATACCTAGAATGATACTCAATTTCGCCGTATTAGAACATCTTAATGACGGGCTCGCTTAGCAGCCGGAGCGGTAACTGGATCTGCCGAACGTTTGGCTGGTGAGCTCTCGTGACGGCTTTTGACGCGCGGCCAGTCGTCGAATGGACTCGACCGGGTCTTGCGTTTGATTGGGGTTGTCTCTTCCGATTTCAACCCGGATCGCGTAGTGCGTCTGGTGTCGGGAGGAGTTGCTACCATCTGGCCAAACTTGGGTGCTTGAGGGGTCGACGGGCAGTCGCCCTTAACTTCGGCTGGGGTCTGTGGGGCGTCCTCCGGCTCCTCCAGGTTGTGGTCCTCAATGTCGGTGACCGCCTCCTCCTCTTCCAAAGTCGAGCCAGTAGCAGGCGCCTTGGGTGCCACGGGGAACAGCAGACGAGGCTTGATGGCAGAGCGAGTGAGTGGTCTCTTAGGGCGCTCAGAGGTGCTGCCCTCTACATCCTCGTCATCCTCTGGCTCAGCGAACTTGCGGAAAATCTTCTTTCCTCGGCTGAAATGATTTGTTAGCGGACATGCAAAGAATCTGAGGGCGGGTTTGACTTACAAGACATAGATCAGTCCATCTTCACGCTGGATCGCTTCATCAACCGCCTGAGAGGCTTCTCCGGGGATAGCGACATTGCGCTTGCTGCGACGGCGCGGGGGCTCTTGCTCGACAGTGGCGCTACCGCCGTAGAACGGGTTGTCCTCACCCCGGTCGACTTCGGGAACGCGATCTTGGGAATCGGTGAAAATCTCAATCGGCTCCTCAACTTCCTCGGCAACAAAGCTCTCCAGCGAATTACCAGAGTACTTCTTGGGAACGCGCTTCCTTCTAGGGCTGACCAAAGCCTCCTCTTCGTTGTGGAATAGGTTGCGGGCGACGGAGCGGAGATGGGCCGTCTGCTTCTCGTTGGGCGCCTTCTTGGGAGTCTTGGCTGGCGTGGGCAGCATGCCGGAGCGACGAGTGACGGAAGGAGCAGGAGCTTGGTGCTCCATCTTGTCAATACCAAGCGACGAAGCGGCTTGGGTTGTGCTCTCGACGGTCAGGAATCCGGATGCACGACGAACGGAGTCTTGGACGGGCTGGCGCTTCTTCTGAGGGGTGGCGGTAGGCGACATGATTGATGCAGCTGCGGCAGCGGAAGGCGCGACGGCTTTGCGGGTGGTTCGAGGAGGAGTGCGGTGGGATGAGGGTTGGGGAGAAGGGGTTCGGTGGGCGGCTCGTCGAGATGAAATTCGCGCCGACTTGCGGGGAGAGTAAGGTTCCCAGTTATCGCTCCAGCCGTGTTTGGGGGTCGGTGGTGTTCGGATGGAGGATGGGGGAGGTGAAGGTGTTGATGCTGCGAAGGTCGCCATTTTGGATTCGTGGGTGTGAGGGTTGGCAGGCACCCTGATGCTCAATGGGCTGCTCCTTCCTTTTTAGTTTTTCCCTTGAGGTTGTCAATCGCTCTTTCCCGTCTTGGTGGCGAATGCGCGCGGGCGTGCAGGTGTTGCAAAGCGATGAAAGACTTCCAGTGTGGTCGGTGCCTTGAAGTTGAGGGAGGATGAGGTGAGGTAGCACCCGGTTGATTCGAGTACCTTATTCTTAGAGGACTCTAGCGGTCAGAGTACAAAGAGCTTACTTCAACTGATTATTTTTGAAAATACTACGCAATCGCAGTAAGGATAAAATGCTGAAATTCGCGATTCCTCTGGTTACTCTGACTACAAGAGATGCAAGTAAGAAGTGGATGTGTGGATGGAATGGAGGATGTTCGCGATCATGGGGCGGCGGCAGTTGGGATGGATGCAGAAGGAAACGGTCAAGTCACAGAACGTGGGAGGCTGGAGGCTGGGAAAAGTAAAGGCTGGGAGGGGACTGCGACCGACCCTTTCAGAACGTGAGCCCATGTCCAATGAAGTGGGCAGTGGGCAGCCCAATCCAACGACTTTCTTTTTTTTTTTGGCAGCGCACCAGCCCCCAGCCACCAAGTTTTACAGCGACGAACACTGAGGCTTGAGGGGACAGACAGCTCATTTTCTGCGCAAATTAAGCGAGGCCCCACCACGACAGCGGAGACGCGTCGCACCTCCTGAAAAGCGCGTCTTTTCGCGTATCGTACACACAGTCGACCCCGGCCAAACAACACTAACGCTAAAGTACCCATTGGGCCTGCAGGGATCTTCTCTGCCCCTCACCCCATCCCACATTTTCCCCCAAACAGCCCGGACACGAAGCGGCACTCCAATCCCAAAGTCTGATTCCATCAACAAATAACGTCACCGTCGCCGTTCCGTCTCAGGCACAGACTGCCCCAGACCGCGCTCTCGCAGAACCGTCACTATCGGCGCATTACCACCTGCACCCGCACCCGCACCCGCACCTGCAGCTGGGCACCGACCGGCGCAACATCCATCATGGCCGACAACATGGACGACTCCCTCACCGAGGACATCTGGGCGTCGCCTGGCCCAGATGGCCAAGCTCCCCCATCCTCCGACCGGCCCAAGACCCCTGCCACACCGAAAACTCCCAAAACTCCAAAGACGCCCAAGACACCTGCGAACCAACCCACCACGTATGACAGAGAGGCCGCCTTGCGCAAGGAGCTGGAGGGTGTCCGCAATATCAACGCCGCCATTGAGGGCATCATCACCACTCTGGACAAGGCCAAGGGGAACATGAACGTATGTGTTGCTGACAGTCCTTCGATCCTGGTCTGTCGCTGACTTTAGACTCGTAGACCGTCTCCGGCACCGTCTCCAACGCGTCCACTCTCCTCAATACTTGGACCCGTATCCTCTCTCAAACCGAACACAACCAGCGACTAATCCTCAATCCGAACTGGCGCGGCGCAAGCAACGACTTGGTAGAAGTCGAAGCCGAGGCTTTGCACAAGCAACAGCAAGCTGAGAGGCGGGCGGCGGAAGAGGAAAGGCGACGTGAGGCTGTCCGACGAAAGCGCGAGGAGGAAGAGGAAGAGCGGCAGAGACAAGCGGCTGTGGGCACCACATCTCGCGGCCGAGGAGTGACCCGCGGGGTCTCTAGTGGGCGGGTTCGTGGCACAAGTACAACAACCACGCGCGGCCACACCTATTCCAGTAGCACATCGAGAATCGGTAGGGGCGCTCCGAGTGTTCGCGGTGGATATCGGGGACGGGCTAGAGGTACGGAGTAGTGTTGGACGACTTTTTGTTTGTGCATGAGTACCGATACCCTGAAATGCATGCTGGCGGTCAACTGCAGAACAGCCTATTTCTTCTTGAAGAAGTCGCTCATCTTCTTCATGCCCTTAGTGTTGACCTTCTCCAAAGCTCTGACTCCGCGGCTTTGGGTGGCTTTCCGTTTCTTCTCTTCCTCCATTTTCCTCTTCTTGTCAGCACGTGCCTCCTCCTCCTCCTCATCCATCATTCGCTTCCTGGAGTAGTCGGCCATTGATCTAGACGATGCGGCTTCGGCGCGCAGTTTGGCAAGTTGAGCCAAGTAGTCATCCAGAGGGGTGAAGTCGACGCTGGTCGTCTCCTGGTCAGCAAGGAGTGGCCTCAGCATCGCGGTCATCCCAGGCGCGATATAGCTGGAGCAGATGAAATTGAATGCGACCTTGAGTCTCTGAAGGTTGGTGACCTCCTCAGATGCTTGGATGGCACTGACGATGGTCTCTTCCACGACTTCGCTGATAGATGTTGCGGCTGTCGAAGTCGAGACAGCTGATTGTGTACTGTCCACCGTAGAAACGGACGTCTGAGACTCGCCTGATTCATTCTTGGTGGAATCTTGGGAACCATCCGTTGCTCCATCGGCAGCCGGTTTCGTTTCCACTGTCACCGCTTGTGATCTTTGTACTTGAATAGGTGCCTCCAAGGCCTTCTTCACAAACTTTTCCTCCATACTGTTCGGAAGACTTTTGGAGCTGATCGCTTTCGCTTTTGACAGAATCTCGTTGACAAGCTTCTTCTCGCTCAGTCGGTACATCTTCTCGTCACCAGCATCGACGGTGTCGCAGACCGTTTCCATTCGTGCCTCGAGAAGTGCGCGGGTTTTTGGGCATCGTAGAGCCTCGGCCATATGGGAGGACGACGAGGAAACGGCGTCGAAGTGGTCGTCGCTGGAGAGGAAGAGGCGTTTCGATTCGGTCGATTTTGCGCTAGCAGGGCCGAATAGGCCGGGAAGCAGGAGGAAGATGGGATCAATGGGAGTCGCGACGAAGAGGTCAGCGCCATTGGTGACCTGCGCCTGGAGCTTTGAGGTGTCTCCATCATTTGACTTCTCCAAATCGCCAGTGGGTGTCTCGATCATCCAGCTCCTCGGGCTGGTCTTGGGTGCTGCGATCTTGGTGAACTCGTAGATGCCCGTGTCTGGGCAGAGCAGATACCGTGTAGGTTTCGAGTATCTGGGATTAGGGAGAGAGACTATGCGAGCCTCTTGGGTAGCCTTGGTAGGAATGATGAATAGCTTGGGTGCGCTCGACGACTCCTCTGGCAGACTGTACTTGGCCGTCGTTGAGGCATTGCTTGCCTCCGTCTTCGCCGCCGGAGCGGACTTGGTTGATCTGGTTCTCGCCATTGGATGTGACCTGAATATTTTGCCGTGTGCAATTAGCAGCTTTTGGGTATGAGAGATGCCAAATCCGAGAAAGCAAGAACGAAAGATCAGTCGAGAATGGACGAAGCAGACGTGTCGGCAATTTGATAGCGAACAATCCGACCTGTAGGCCAGTGCTGAGCGTGGATAGGTCGCGGATCGAGGTACAAAGTGACTTGTGAACCCCTGCGCTTAGACGCGACAGGACGCGACGAACTGATCTCAATTAAAAGTGGAGCGCGTCGTTCAGGGTCATTCGCGACAGCGACCAATGGCGGCTGCCCGAACACTCGCATCACTCCACGTCAAACTCCTCTTCTCAGCCTAGCCTGCCCAGGCTTATCGTGACGACAAGTTCAGATGCGACAGTCGATAACGATCGAGACCTTCTTGCCCGTCCTTCTCATGCCTTAGCTTGCACACATTTTTTCGTCATTTTTGCGGCACCGAAAGCCGACGTCGCTCCTTTAGCCGCCTATCTTGTTTACATTGAACTCTTACGTCTTTCCTTTGTTCTCTGAATGCGAGTGTTTGTTTGCCGGCACAGACCCTTCCCATCAACCATCAACCGAGTCTTGCGCCCGATTTCGAAGCTGAGCAGCCCGGTCGGCGGGTGATGGGCCTTGTGGCGTTAAAGCTCCATCAAGTCGCCTTGCCCTAGAATGCACCAAGGTGACCATCGCGCCGACGACCGCCTTTACTGTGACCTACTAGCAATATGCCTCCTGGTTCGTTACCCCGAGAGCGTCTGGCGAACGAGACCGTAACATTCCTACAGGTGCCCCACACGACGAGCCTCAATGGCCTCCTCGATCACCCCATGAAGCCCTCATCAGCACACCCGGCGGGCGCGAACGACTGAGACGGCTTGCGAACCGAACTTCTCCCTCTCCGTCACCACTCAAGAGGGGGCGATCCATGTCCGCCTTATCGTCAAGGTCGGCCGCATTGCGAGACGAGATGAACGACCAAGAGGAGGAGGAGGACGAGGAAACCCTACAGCTCAAGTTGCAGGAGATCCAGGCCAGGTTAAAGCTCAAGAAACTTCAGAGCGCAAGGGAGAAGACAGCTGTGCCCCCATCGCCTAGGCGCAGATCACCACCACCACAACCAAGACCATCCTCGAGAATATTTGGACAAGGCGCAGGCCGAGCTGCCGCCAGGCCTTTGTCACTTCCCGCCGCTCCAACTATCGAGGTGCCTGTCTCCCCAACGAGAAAGGCCCCGCCCCCTCAACCACAAACTTCACCAAGTCGGGTTCTTCTGGGAATAGACAAGGGACTGAGAGCGGAAGACATCTCGTTGAAAAGAGCCCCAAGTGCGCTGCGCAGAAGGCAAGATGGAGAACAACAATTTGGCGGCTACCTCCAGAGGTCAAGGACCCCCGGACCCCAACCCACGTCTGAAATATCTCGGCCGCTGAGTTTCAACGAGAGGTTAGCTGCAGCAAAGACAACAGAGCAGGATCGGCAAGGTTTAAGAGACAGAGTTCAAAAGGTCAGGTCCAACGCATTTGAGATTGGACGGAAGGAGATGGACGAGTACAAATCAAAGGCCGTCGACCTACCCGATCAACCCGACGTAGCGCCACAGTTCACACGAGAAGAGATCCTCGGTTTAGAACCCAAGAGCGAGCAAGCACCAAGAGACGGGCAGTTAGCTCTCCCGGCACCGCCATCAACATCCGCAGATGACCCCCAAGGTCTCTATCAACCACCGCCTGACTGGATGTTGCCACAATCGAAACCAGCGAAGCCTAAGAAGCTAGCACCTGCAGATGTCCCCGAATCCGAAGCTTCGGCATTCGAGCCGTATTCTAGCTTCCATCTTTCGCAGCGCATTCTGCCACACCAGGTCCTAACCAGACACCTCTCTGAGAAAAAGATTTTTAAGTTACCAGATTTACTCCGGAAAGTCAAGGGGCCCGAGTTCCAGCTTCCCGATATCGAGCAAGATATCGTCGTCTTCGCCATTGTGGCAAAAAAGTCGGAACCACGCTCGCATAAACCCAGACCGGATCAAAAAGGGAAACAGACAGACAAGGGCAAATACATGGTGATTACGCTGTGTGATTTGAAGTGGGAGCTTGAGCTGTTCCTCTTTAACTCGGGGTTCACTCGGTTCTGGAAGGTCACAGAAGGCACTGTGCTGGCAATCTTGAATCCTACGATCATGCCGCCACCGGTTGGCCGCGAAGCCACTGGTCGTTTCAGTTTGGTCATCAACTCGGATGCCGACACAATCATGGAAGTAGGGAAGGCTCGGGATCTGGGCTTCTGCAAATCCATAAAGAAGAACGGCGAGTACTGCAATTCGTGGGTTAACAAGAAACGAACAGAGTTCTGCGAGTTTCATACCAACGAGGCAGTCTCCAAGCAGCGCGCAGCACGCATTGAGATCGGCACCATGGATTTCGGCATGAGTGGTGCAGAGAAATGGCGAATGAACTCTCGTTACGTCACTAAGCCTCCTACCGCGGCAGAACAAAAGAAGAGCCAATACGACAGGGAAACACATAGCCATTGGTTTGCCACGAAATCCATGAGCGCGGCGCAGCTTATAGATGGTGCCCAGGCTCTCGCGGATCGGAGGGAGAAGGAAGAGGGGCTGAAGAAGCGGATGCTTCAACAAGAGCGAGAACGCGGAATCATGCAGCGTCTGGGCAAGATCGGCACTGGTGCTGGAAGGGATTACATGAAAAGGGCAGAACGTGGTCCTACTTCCAGTGTATCCGCTTCCTTCCCTCCGCCGGGACCGTCATCATCCAACGCCATTGAAGAAGAAGCAAAGCCCGATGCTAAAGCTCTGGGTCTGGTAGGATCGAGGAGTAGGGACCTCGCAATCCACCTGAGCCCTATTAAACGCAAGAGGCCGCAGAGTGCGCAATCCAGTTCTTCGGTCGGTGCTCCAGCATCAGCAACAACTGGCGCGAAGTCTGGTTTCGGTTGGGGTGGCAACCTCAAGGACAAGCTGAGCAAGATGAAGGAGGGCGAAAAGTTGAGCAATGACAAGCCACCGGTCCGGAAAAAGACGAGATTCGTGACGGAGAAGGGCATTCGCGAAGCTGGGAGAGAGAGCTTGGGGATGGACCTGCCACGGACAGTTTCCTTTGAAGATGATGATGACGACTTGGTTATTCTTCGGTGAGATTGGGTAGCATTGGGATTTGGGTATGGCTTGTGAACGGCCGGACGGAAGCACGGTGTCAGGGATAACGGCTCCTGGATGGAGTCTACTCGAAGCGATCATGGGTACATTTATGGTCCGAAAAACAGAACCAAGAACAGAATTTGACGTCCTCGAGACGATCGATCACCCCATACCGCTCACCTAACCCTCCTCTTGCGTGACCAATAATACATGTGCTGTGGCAAGCAGCGAAAAGCATTCCATGTTACCGGCCATGATTTTGAGCAAGATGTGGATGTACTCAAATGTTTCCAGCCAAATGCCTCAGGACTTGGACGCTGCCACATAACTAGGCGGCCTTGCTTCCTTGCTCTTTCCCCAGTCAGATTCCTTGTCGCCCAAAGTAAGTTCCAGAGTCTGTCCTTTGCTGAAGAAGTCATGCCCAATCCAACTCCTGTTGTACGCCTGCCCGTCCAGCTTGGCGCTTTGCACGTAAATATTTTTGTAAGCCGGATCGAACCCCACGCACTTCACTGTAGCATTTTTGCCCGTCAGCGGACTCTTGATCGCGATTTCTTCGAAGAAAGGTGGTGTAATGAGATACACATTTTGTCCCGCGACAGGGAATAGACCCATGACGGAGAAGGCGAGGAACGCCCCCATGGCACCAGAGTCGTCGTTTCCAGGCAGGCCGCCACGGGTAGAGTTGAAGGCAGACGGTATGTACTGGTGAATGCGTTCCGCCGAGAGGCCGGGTCGACCCGCATAATGATACTGGTACACCGTGAGAAACACTGGCTCGTTGGAGATGTCTGCGAGAGGAGACGCGTGGAAGTAGTTCAGACGGGTGACGAATGCATCATCGCCGCCCATCATGTCGATGAGAGTTGACGTCGCATGAGGCACGATGCTACAAGAGGTCAGTTTGATGTGACTGAGTTGGGGACTGGTACGTACAACTGATACTGCCAGATGCTCGCTTCGAACGTCTCGCTGGGATTTGTCGTCAAGGAACAAAATCCAGCAAGAGTAGAGCAGGCAATCGGATCCTGGAAACCCCAGGTCCCATTCATGTACTTTGGCTGGAAGAAGCCGTTGAAGTTGGTGTCCGTGCCATTTATCAGTGATTTTTGGTCCAACTTCCACAGGTTTTGCCAGTTCATGCTTCTTGCCATGTACTTATCGTGGGCTGTGCCCTCGTTCAAACCCTGAGCTAGCGTCGCCAAACAAAAGTCATTGTACGAATACTCCAATGTCCTCGAGATGCTCCTTGAGTTTGTGCCGAAGCCGATGGGATCGAAGTCGAGATACGGGATGTAGTTGAGGTTCTTCCAGCTCGTCAGTCCGCCACGACCTTGGTAGGACCACTCCAGGGGCTCCTCTTCTGCGTCCCTGGTGATGGCCTCCAGAGCCAATTTCCAGTCTATCGAGGTTAAATTCTTGACATAGGCATCGACGAGGACTATGTCGGCGTTGGAGCCGCCCTGTGTCCAGCCTTTACAAAGAGACATACGGCAGTCGGGGAGCCAACCTTCGTGTTTGTATATGTCCAGCAGGGAATTGACCATCTGTGTCTGCGCTACCGGATCGATGACGGTAAGCAATGGATGCTGGACGCGGAAACTGTCCCACATGCTGCTTGCAATCAGCACAGATTTCTAGAAGACGAGTTTTGACGCACCAGTAGTATGAATCAAAGTAAGGGACACCGCTATCCCAATTGGGGTTCTCGCCAGTGTAGTTCTGAGGGGAGATCATGTTGCGATACAACCCGCTCCAGAAACTTCTCTGAAGATCATCCGTCGCACCGCCCGCGTTGATCGACACTGGGCTCAACTTCTCCCTCCATGCGTCTTTGGCTGACCCGACTAACGAGTCGAAGTCACTCAGGGGATCAGGAATCTCTCGCTCAGCATTCTGACACGCCTGTCCGCTGCTCTTGAATGAGACACCCACTCTTGCAGTGACCGTGTTGTTAGTGAGCTCCTTGAACCGGACGAAACCTCCCCCCTCCAGGTAGAACAGATTGAAGCCTCTGGTGATGAATAGCTCTTTCGGCTCGTTGCCCGCGCGGTTGTTCACCCATACCCCCGTGTCGAAGATCTTGGCCCCAAAGAAGTCAACGCAATAGTGCATTACATACGAACCGGCGCCAAAGCTGGGCAGAAACGTGCCGTTTCCCGTCATTCGTCCTGTGGGAGTATCTATCTTGATTGAGGCATTCTGACGGCTTGCCCAAAGATCCGTTAAATCCAACATCACAAGCGGATGGTCGTTACCGCTCGGAAACGTGAACCGCAAGAGCGCCGCATGCTCAGAGATAGTCATGTCCGCCTTCACGCCCGGCATCATATCCACCGAGAAATACCCCGGCTCGGCCACCGTCTTGTTCAAGTCATATTTGGTTGCCCGGTCTCCGATTCGAAAGCGGCAGTTATTGAGCTCATCACCTGGACACACTTGCGGGAACAGCGGGAAGTTGCCCAGACTGGGGTTGCCTCCGGTGCCGCTGTCATGGACGATGCTGAAGCCGGTGATGTTGCTGCCATCGGTTGCAAAGCCACCAGTCTTTTCGCCGTCGACGTCGGCGACAGCTTTGGCGAGCCCATAAGGCCGTGTGGCGCCGGCGAATACGTTACCGCCTCGCTGAGAGCCGATTAAGGGGTCGACAAAGGTCAGTGGATCGAACGACTGAGAGACGACTGCAGCACCAAGAGTAAAGAGTGAGACTAGTAGACGTTGCATCCTACGCATGATGCAGAAGACATGGGATGAACTGAAGCACAGAGTTGATGTAGATGGTTCATCCGCGGGAAGTCAAGCCTCTCATGAGAGACCAAACGAATTCCGTTGAAGAGAAGAGGAAGAACGCAACCAGAATTCAGGGCTGTAAATGTGAGTGATTCGGTTCACCATCTCCTCGCCTCCTGCAAAGTAGGACGACGCACGGAGATCCCGGCTACGTGCTGGTAGCTGGCCAAACTCTACTACTCGACCCCGCGCGTGTGCTCTATGCGGTAGGTGGTAGTCTGGTGATCCTTGATGGCGCGGGAATAAACATCAACGAACACCTGATTGTCGATCACTGGCCAGTATGCGCCGTGTTGACCTGCAGCTCTAGCCAGTCCAATGTCCGGATCTCCGTGTATGCATGGCGGACATGGCGGCGCACGGCATTTTGAGGTGCATTCTCGGAAGATTGGAGAGGTTCAATATCGCAGTCGAAGTTGAGTTTGCCGTTGGATGTTTACCCGTCAGGTTTTCACGAACTCCTCATCTCATAACATTACCGTGTACCCGTTGAACGAAACGGTCAAGTTGTTTCGTTTGGACGATGTTTGAAGACAGGAGGATAAATAGACTTGGGTGCTGGGTGCTGGGGAACCGAACCCCCCGGCCTTAGCTAGAATTACAGGGGTAGCTTAGCCGAGAGACAGCGAGAGTACCTTAGGTACCCCACAACAGCTACTTAACAGTTACGGTGCCTGTGGAATATCACGGCTTCCCTTCCCCCATCTGCTCAATTATTGATTTGCACAATCATCATGGCTAGAGGTGGGACTCAGTTGGCTTGGAAGTCTTTCGTCTGAACATCCTCTCAATGATTCAGACAGATGAACCTTGGTCGAGTTTCTACGCATCCGTGCCTTAGTGCTAAATGTAGAAGGGGCCCCCTTGAGGCAGGCGCCCGAAACACCCAATGCTCCAGCTTGGCCCCCGGAAAATTGCCCCAAGGATGGAGAAGGACACTTGGAGCTTCGTGATTCCAAACATCTTCATCTCTTCAGCCTATTGTCTGTTCATTTGTCTTCTGGCTTTCCTTTTCCCTTCGTCTTCTTCTTGCAAACCAGACTGACTTGTCATTTACTTCCTCTCAACCAACTGTCAAGATGCTGGACATCTACCAGCTGAATCTCGCCGGCCTTCTGGTGGCCTGCGGCGCTCTCTTCGCTTCAAGCAACACTGATAAACCCGTCAAAAAGGATGAGAAGAGCGCGAAACAACAAAAGAAAGAGAAACCCCAGCAAGGATCGCAATGGGCGTTCTACGTCGTTTACGCTCTCGTCATGGGCTCGGATTGGCTTCAGGTAAATCGGTACCAATCAGTCAATTAATCTTACCTGTCTGACACGATCACCAGGGCCCATTTCTCTACTCTCTGTACAAGAATGAGCACGGCATCTCCTCAGACCTTGTCCCGACGCTTTTCACGACAGGATTTGTCTCTGGAGCTGTAGCCGGCTACTTCATCGGCTCCCTGGCCGACCGTCACGGCCGCAAGGCGAGCTGTCTCTTCTTCTGCGCCGCCTATGCCCTCTCATGCCTTCTCACCACCATCCCGAACCTGCCGCTACTCTTCGTCGGCCGCGTCCTTGGAGGTCTCGGAACCAGTCTTCTTTTCAGTGTCTTTGAGAGTTGGATGGTCACCGACTTTCACGCCCGTCGTCTCGGGGAGAAAGGTCTGGACCTGTCGCGAACTTTCGGCTTCATGAGCACGGTCAACAGCATTGTGGCCATCGTCAGTGGCGTTGCCAGCGAGTGGTTGGTTTCCATCACCGGAACGCGCAAGTCGCCATTTCTCGCCAGCATTGGGTTGCTCGTGCTAGCCGCCGGTATCATTACTAGCCAATGGGTAAGACTCCTGTCACTGTGCAAATCTTGGTCTTTAGGCTAATGGGTGTTTAGGACGAGAACTATGGTTCTACGGGCCAAAGTTCGTCTAAGGAGGCTTCCAAGGGAAAGAAACCCAGCCTCTGGACCACGATGACCGACAAGCGCGTACTTACTATTGGCCTCGCATCAACAATGTTCGAAGGTTCCATGTATCTCTTTGTAGTTCTCTGGAGTCCCGTCCTTCTCGGCGCCTCCTCTTCTCCGGACACCTTGCCTTACGGCATCATCTTCGCTGCCTTCATGGCCTCGACTCTGCTCGCCTCCCTCTTGTATCCTCGCCTGTCTGCCATGGTCTCAACTCCGTCTCGTTTGCTGTTCGCAGTCTTACTGGCAGCTAACGCTGTCTTCTTTGCTCTCGGCACCGGTGGTGCGCGCCCAGAGCAGGTTACCTTCTGGCTGTTCTGTCTCTTTGAGGCTTGTGTGGGACTCTACTTCCCGTCCATGGGCTACCTCAAGGGCAAGGTTGTGAACGATGGCGTACGCGCGCAGGTTTACGGTGTTCTGAGAATCCCGCTCAACTTGTTCGTCGTTGTCAGTCTGATGTTCACAAGTGACGAAGGAGCAAACAAGGTGTTTCTCGTGTGCGGCATGTTGCTCCAGGCAAGTTGCGGCGCGTTATGGCTCATGGGTGGACAGGATGTATGAGTGGATGGCTGCAAGTCTGGCACTAAACGGAGGAGATAATGGGATAATATTTAGGATCCACATGTCCAACATGTCCAACAGAGGAGCCATGTTCATTCCACAAGCATGGAAATCAGATTTGACCCGTCTTCCGATATCACGCCAATATGTTCACCGACTGACTGACGTCGACTTAAGCGCCCGTTGGACACGTCACCCCACGAATCCCATCGGGCCGTTTAAAGCTCGCCCTCTCGCCCTGGTGTCGGGTCTCGTTGCGCCAGGGCTAAGCCTTGCGTTGAAAGCACGTCCGACGTTGCGCATGCACACATAGGTGTCTCTGGAACCGAGCGAGAATGTGTACACCGAAGCACCCGGAATGGACAAATCATTCACATCACCTGATGAATAGGGTCGTCACATTTCAAATAGTGTCTCATTCTCAAACTTGACAGGACGATTTGTACACCTCCTTATCTAGATACCGCCTTGCTTCATCACTCCTGATTGCCGCCCGAAATATTAAGGAATCACATAGGTAGTATCCCGTCATCCGGCAAAGGAAAGCCAACAGATTAGAAATTAGATACACAGGTACAAGGCGAAGAGAGACTCTGAGGAGCTACATTATCCAATAACAGCTGGAGGGCGAGCAACTGCAGTCCGCCTGCTCGACTTCCCAATGGTTGGAAGCTCGTTCAGCGTTGCAGGAGGAATTACCTCGACGTCTTCCAACTCAATTTTCAGACTAGGGACCCTTTCGAGTGAGATTATCGTCCCGTCCAGCTGAAAGATGAATGTCAGTTAAGATCCCGCGAGTAACGTAAACAAGACTGAACTCACCTTCCTGATGACAACCTTCAAGTTATCATCGATTGACTCCAGAACTGCTTTTGTCGAAGATCCTCCTATGCTAGCCGACTTCATAGCCCTCCTCAAAGGAATCTGGTCGTAACTTTTACCTTGCTTCGGCATGTCTAATAAGGTGAAGGAACCGGCGAGGCCACCGTTCATGAACAACTGCACCTGGCACGGCAATTCCAGCTCACTCCTCTCAACTTGAACCTTGGCGAAGTACTCCGTCCTGGGTGCAGCTTTGCGTCTCTTCACTCCTCGGAACGAGTTAGGCACCAGCGGACCATAGAGACTATTCACAGTCCTGCTGACCGCCATTTTCGTCTCTCCAGGCGCCTCCTCCCAGAACCGTATGGGCGCGTACGTGTACCCCCAATCACGGATTTGCGTCACCGACTCGCTGGTGAGAGGCTCTCCTCCTCTACCTATGAATGGCATCATTGGCGATTCTGGTGTGGTGATGGTCCCACGAGGCGTCGCAAACAGTTGATTCGAGGGGTACGAGAAGTGCATGGTCGCGTTCTCGAAATGAAGAGCTTGCCAGTAGGCTATGAGGCGGTCTACATTGGTGTGGTGAAGCCAGCTGAAGATTTGAGTCAGAGCTCGTTGATCTCGTCATAGTGAGAGGTTCAACTTACAATAGGGGGTCAAAGGCTGAGGTCGACAAGTATACGAGGTCTTGGCCACAGGCTGCTCCAACGTGTACCTCACCATGAGGGCCTTCAAAGTTGGCTCCCTGAGATTGCGCCGAGACCATTTCGTCAAAGCTGGTCGCTTTTAGAAAGACGTTGTACTGTAATCAATCAGAAAGTGTCCGCTGTACAACTTGAAAAAAAAAAAGCCCCGGGCGATCGCTTTTCGATCTGTGGGCGGAAGTTTGTCTCAGACTTACCACCTTCTCCTTGAGATTGAACCCCGAGAGAATGTCATTCGCCGACTCTGGGAAGCTTTGCCCATCGTCGACACATCGTTTTGTATAGTTGTTCCCGTCAAACTTGCCAAAGTCGCCCTGAAGTGCAGATGCTGGGTATGTGTACCTGAAGAAAGGGTTCCGGACTGTGCTCTGGCGAAGGGTGCCATTGTCCGATCTGTTGATGACAACCGTTGGCAGTGCGGTCACTGGAGGCACGTTGGAGTTGGCACTCCAGTCCCAATATGCTAAACGTAGATCCTCGGCAGCTTCGACATACTGCCTTCTTGATGTGGCTGGATAGGCGGCGGCAAGTCGTTTAGCATGCTGTACAAGGACTTGCTGTGTCGGGAGTGTCAGTTCTTCCTAGAGACAAACCTGAACCTGTGGAACGGTGCACAAACCTCATACAGTGAAAGATACGCACGATGCCAGGTGCCGAATAGCATTTGCTGTTTGCGAATGTCAGCCAGGTAAATATCAACTCTCCACGTTAAGGTTGCTTACATTGTGCGGACAATACCCTGCGTCTGCTCCTTTCTGCGGCCCGCCCCCAGACCAAGCCATGTACGGCTGCCCGTGAATACCTGAGACTCGCTTTTAGCTAGAAGTTCAACTCAAAGACCATGTAGTTCTTACCGGCAATCTGGAAAAATGATACGGGGTCCGTTTCATTCGCATCCTGCATCGCCGTGAGCGCCCCCACGTACAGATCCCTGGAGAAATGTCAGCAACCTAGTCTCTCTCGTCCGAGACAGTCATTTAACCATTGTGGCCCTCCTTCGTCGTAGAGGCTATTGATGTCTCTCCTAGCCGGGACCTCGCCTGTCTGGGCGTTGATACCGGACCTGACCCCTGTGACGGGGAGGTTCTGCCCAACAGCCGTCCATGGGACGGCCACTAGCAATACGAGTATGACTTCGAATGGTAGAGCAATCATTGCGTTGGAGGAATCTGATTATGGTTAACGTCTTCAGACCGCCAAGGAAGATCAAGCTCTCAAGACCCAGGGGAAAGTGAGGGTGTTTATATTCCCGATGGTCAAGTCAAGCACTTTCAGGTTGGTGCTTCAACAAGCGGTGCCGTCGGACCCGTTCCATTCCCGCGCTGTCACCAACCTTGTGGCATACCCAGCATGTGGAAAGGTCTTTTGTTGGAGCCTTCGCGTACCGTCGCTCGGCATGGGCGACGATATTCAGGAGACCTGATTCCTGGGTCGCGAGCATGACGATCATCCAGCTCCACAGACAGTTAATCAGGAACAATCGCAGAACGCTCCGACAAACGGTGACGGAAATAGCAACTAAGCCACTTTGTGTGACCTCTCTATATTGCTTGCAGGTTCTCGTGGATTAGATGCCAAGGGATGATCAAAGTGGCGTGAGGCCTCAACTCGATGTGGAAAGCAGAAGTCCGGAAGATCAAGGCACTATCGAAATTCAGGTACGCGGCGGGAGGTTGCATGCATATCACGAGCTGGGCCACCTCAAGAAAACGTCGTGGAAACATCGGAGCGGTCAGGCGCTCACCCTGTCTACCCTGTTCGCTCTTTCCCGGTGTGGCCTCCGACCGGCCGGTTCCTATCTCTCAAATCCGTGGCTCGTGTCTTCCGTTGGCGCCCATTCGCGGCTTTTACGGCCAACATAAATCACAACATCCACCCCGTATCACAAACAGAAGCACCGCGAGTCGTTTACGCTGGGTTGCCGTTCTTCCGGTCTGCAGCTTCCCGTCTGAAGCATGGGTTACAGGCAGAAGTTCAGGGTAACTAGGTCCTGGCACACTCACCGCTTTCGGCGAGGTTTGCGACGGGCTTTGGTCATTCTCACAGTGATTGATCTGACGAGATTCATTGGTAGGCGCAAGAATGCCGTTGTCCTTCGTAGATGATGCAGTCTTCTGCGGGCAAAGCGCATAACGCTGACGTGGCAGCAGTGATATTCTCCTTATTACATGCGGCTAGGAAAGCTGATCGTGCGGGTTTCCCTACTCCTAGGTATGCCGGCGTCTAGCCGTATGCTCGTTACGTTACGTGAAGGCGTATCTAAAAGATTTTGAAGCTAATCGGCGCCAAGAAGTCGAGGAGAAGATATCATAGGGATGGCTGACAGGCCGAACGATGTCGAACTTGAGGAGGTTCAGCGGTGCATGAATGTGCCGCCATAAAGGGCGAGCTTTAAGGCACAACTTATTTCACAGCATCAGTCGTGTTACTGCCAGGCATCGTGGGGGAGATGATTCCTCAATAGTGCAGGGAATGATTCAAGTAATATTGGAGCTGTGAATCAAACGAAACCCCTAGATACACGATAGTCAGAGAACTTTTGAGTTCGTTATCAGAGACAACTGGGATAACGCGATGCCTGAATGATTCCAACGGTACTTCGTTCGACGTGGTTCAATGAGACTCAAGAATGCTTCTCCAAAGCCTCCAAACTCCTTCGACCCACGATGACCACCTTCGAACCATGACCACACGAGAGGCATAAAGAAGCTCGACTCAGAGAGACTTTTCCAGCAAGATGAGGTCTTGGAAGCCCTCCTTCCATCTCTTCATCTGGTCTGGTGTGGGCTTCGGCAGAGGGCTGCGCGCAACTCCTCCATACCCCAGCCAGGCTTGAAGGCCAGCTTTGACTCCGACGACGCCTCCTTGAATAGCTGTCCAGTCTCCCTGAGATAAAACCTCTTGAATCTCTTGTGCTTCTTGATACTTACCTTCTTGGAAGAGCTTGATTGTTCTTATGCATGCCTTGGGGGCAATATTGGCCAGCCCTGCAAGGATGCCATGTCCTCCAGCGACCAGAGATTGGATAGAAAAGTCGGCCGAGCCAGCCAGCACGAGAAACTCAGGCACATCCGCATCTGGATTCTTTGCCAACTTCATCGTGGCATTTGCGACACGATTCAGCTTGCCCGTGTTGCCGCACGTCAGTTTCAGGCCGGCAATGTTCGGGTGCTGAGACAGCTCCACGATAACGTCGCTTGAAAGATCAATCCCTCCCACTGCTCCCGGGAAGTTGTAGATCAGAAGGGGAATCGGAGAGGAATCCGCAACTTCGCGAAAGTATCTCAGGATGGTCTCGGAAGAAGGCGCAAATAGACCAGAGTAATACGACGGGGGCAGGACGAGAGCATAGTCTCCCCCAGCAGCCCAAGCTTCTGAGCAGTACTGGATAGTCTCGCGGGTGCTCTGGCTTCCGCATCCAACGATTATCGGCATCTTGGAGAATCCGGCTTCGTTGAGGGCTTGCCGAGTTGTGGCGGTAACCACCTGGCGTTCGGTGTGGGTGAGATGAACCGCCTCCCCATTCGATCCCTGAGTCGCGAGACCGGTAACACCGGCTTGGGCAAGTCGCACTGCATGGCGGGCAATGGTGTCGGTGTCCACATTCTCAGTGCCAGTGTCAAAGAAGCACATGGTTGGCACATAAACACCAGGGACGAGCGGCCGGCTCTCGTCGAGACCAGCACCCAGCGAGGCGCTGTCGAAGGAGCTGCTCAGCGGTGAATGAGATTCCGGATCCGCGGAGCTTCCGATCTTGAGATTTGACGGTGCGCTTGAGCGAAGTGAGTTTTTACTGATGCCAGCTGCGAAACCTCCGGTCGGCGAGGGCGCATCGTTGTGAGGGGCCATGGTCAACCTAGAAGATTTGTGGAAATGGGCGTACCCGGGGTGTGACGGCAGGCGAAAGGAGTAGCGTTGCACAGTACGCGCTAGAAACGCGGAACCAGACAGTAGAATATGACAGAATAGTAGAAGAATTCTTGGAGCTGAATTTAAGGCACGTTCCTAGTGAGTCTAGAAGATGCAAAAGGAAAAAGGTTTGGAGGGTTGGTCGATGGCAGAGGGAGGCGTGTGGGAGAAGAAAGAAGGGGCCCTTTTATCATGAACTTATCAACGCAAAATCAGCAGACGCTCTTACTTCCAATTCTGCTTCTCCCTTGCCATACTTCATACAACCCCAGAGGGGCTGGTGGCGTTCGAAACGATCTGGCAGTCGTAATTTTCCTCCTGTATGGAGGCGATGTCGCTCAACTCGAATGACACGAAGCCAGGTCCCTTGTACCATGAGGTACCGATTTCTGTTGGAATCACGCAAGGGATAGAAAGACGCGCCATGCCAGCAATGAAGCATCAAGAGCCATTGTTCATATGTCGAGCGTTGACTTGTCCTGAACGGTTGTGCTACGAAGGAGTGCAGCGACCAGGATCGCAGGAAGATGTGAGCGGCTAGACCAGGATGCCGCGACACAGTGCGAGACGTGCGGCGGAGGACGACCGCTTAGCCATGCGCTAAGATGGACCCCAGGCTTTCTAATGCTTGAGATGGGATGTGGGAGGTTCAAGATCCAGCGCTGGCAAGACTAGATCAGGCCAGTATGGGTTGGGGAAGAGAATACGATTATTCTGGGGTACGTCCCCGAACTTTTTGTGTGGGGGTTAGCTCCCGCCGGGCACATTTTACCCAATGTCTTCGGTGCTGCTTTCACTCATGCGTAAGGTATCTCGTGTGCTGATCAATGGTTAACATTTCCGCCCTTATAGTCGGGATAGAGACAAATACGGATATTGTTGGAATTATCACAGAAGGCTCGAATCACGAGGTCAAGATATCAGCTCAAAGCGATCAAGCACATGTGTTGCGGGGTGAGCTGTTGTGAGCGGCAGTGAGATCCATAAGCCTGTAGTACACGTGTGTAGCAGGCAGCGCTTGTACCGGCTACCATTTTCCACATTGGAATTTCTCGGGTACTGGGCACGTTGCCGTTCCATGCGGCAGCCTCTTTGGAATCATTCGGTGCCCGGTCAACGACTCGGGCGAAGGCCGAGATGTCAAGATATCGAGGTGCTTCGAGCCTTGTCACATCTCTCATGAGGCGGTCGAGCTCGCTACAGAAGCAGATGATGGGCGGTATGACGACTGTCGAAAGTGATGTGGTGCTAATGAAGATGCCCGGCGCTTATGCTTAGTTTTGTGAGCCGAAGCCACCATCCATCAACTTTTCGCACCAAACGAAACGTCTTTTGCTCGACGTACTCTGATAGAAGAAACTTGAGTGCTTTCATCCTGACATCTATTCAAGGCCGTTGTTCGACATGAGGAGCCTCTCGTCCTCATTGACGTATCTTAGAGTAGCAACAACTCATCAATACCGGTGAAGAATATGCTGTATGTCGAGTGCGTTGGAGATAAGCATCGCGAAATGAGGCTGTCGTGTTGTGGGGCTGTTTGCGTGCAGATTTCGGGCTCCGTCGTGACCCGTGATGAACTTCGGGCCAAAGACGTTTCTCACCGGTGAAGTATTGGCCGAGCCAGGTACTTTGCGGCAGATTGGGATGAGATGCATGGATTAATGCGGAGTATCCATCATCGAGACCGGCTGTTACATGTGATGAAGTTGGTTCCATTGCGTCGGTCTGCGGGAGCATTGGTGACCTATTCAAAAGTGAGTGAGTGTGATGGATGTGCGGGTAAAGGCGGTACTGACAGCAGCGGCTGGTGATCAGCTTGGCGAATACAGACGTCACATATCTTTTTGAACGAATCAGCCTGGGCCGATGAGGGTTGGTGTCGGACTGTTTCCGACGTCCTCAGAGCCTGGCCAACATCGGTCATCACCGGAGTGAGGTCGACTCTGAGACAGGAGGCGGAAGGAAGCAGGGAAGTTAGCAGAACTAAGACTAGACGCAGGCACGGTGCTGATGCTGCTCCCGGCTTCTCAGCAAAGTGTCCCTGGGGATGCAGTGAAGAACTTCTTCTCCAATAGAAATGGTCGATATGCTACTAGGCGCGTACGTAATTAACTCTCCAAGAAGAACTCGAGGCAACGGCCTTTATCTTCATCTCACTCATGAGCATGACAGTATCCGTATGTGGACGGGATGGGTCCTTCCTTCCAGCCATGCATCTCCACACTTTCGCTTTTCTGCCTCATTGAGAAACAGAACAGGGCGTCATTCGCTAATTTCGGGTGGAGGTTTCGCAGACCCTAGTCTAAGCAGCAGGGTTCAGTCAACAGTCATGCTGTGAAGCTAGTCAACAACTACCACATCTCAGTCGTTCACGCCTCTGAATCCTCTACTATGTGAGATTGTTGAGGATGTCGTTGAAGTCCACAAGGATTGCTGGCTAACTAGTCAGATTAACCTCACGTTGATGGTAGTATTACAGTAAGAAACGACTGCGTCGCCATAAGTCCAGTAGCTCTTGAGAGAGGCATGGTTCCATCCACATCTACCGCTATGATTCGTTCAAGGCCTATGCAAGCCCGACATTCCATACTACAGCTCAGAAAGAAAAATGTCGCTTTGAGAGTTGTCTAGAGCAAATCTGCGAACGCCCCTCTCCCCTCTTGAATAAGTCTCCAAATTTCAGGGTTTAGGGGGAGTTCATCATCCTTTGCACCCGACAACGCTACGTAATATGCCACGCACACAGCTGCACGCAATCCTCCAAATCAGGCTCGTCTTTTGGAATGCGTGCATGCGCTCGTGACCACAAAGTCGAATGTAGGCATGCCCGAAGACTTGGCATCCTTGTACATGCCGAATTGACAGTGTAAGTCAACCAAGTCTCTCACAGTGTTTGTCTAGCTTAAGTGCGATCGGTCCAGACCCCGAGCTGTTCTCGTTAGTATTGTCGGATATAGTTGGAGCAGTCTGCTGACCCCGATTCTCCATAATATTGCAGAAATCCACCTGGATTATGTGGACGTTCTCCTTCAGCCGCTCTTGCACGTCCATTAGCTGCGCCGCGGGACCATTCCCTTTCCTCTCCCGGCTGCATGAATCTCACCTCGGGTTACAACACCATTACCCAAGGCGGGCGTCCCGATGCCCCCGCACGTTGTGCTCTCCAGTTGTAAGGCACATCTGTGTCGTTAGATTCGGTTCTGTCATCGATCATTATCTTCGAATGAGAGGCCTCCCTTTCGATATTGACGTAGGAACTGCCAGATTGTGCGGCGAGACAATGGCCTCAGTCTTGTAGTTGCTCTTTTGATTCGATATGACTATAGTTCAAAGACGGAACCAATGGTGCAGCTGCTACGTGTCGAAGAATACCTCGATGATGAGACTTTACTTACAAGACGTTGCCATCTCTGCGGTACTACTTCACGCCCTCAGTGATCAGCAACGAGCCTCTTATGCCACGTCTGCACCCTTAAGGAAGATCCGGGGGCGGGACGTCATGCGTCGTTGATCCAGGAGCCTGGTCCAATACCGAGCCAGACTACCTTCAGGTCAAGAGGCTTGGCTCCAGTTTGCGACTCGATTTCTTTTCGGAGAAAACAAGAAAATGTGCTAGAATCACTTCGGACTCTGAGTGCCACTCGTTCTTAGAAGGCGATAGGTCCGCGTCTATGACCATTTTTGTGGAAGCCTTTCCCATGCCCAGCATGAAGCGCATCAAAATCCTTCGTGGCGAAGCCGTCTCGTGCCGAGATGACCTGAGTCGATCATGCCACTCTACACGTGTCTCTCGTTCATTGCGAGTTCTCACACGATCTAGCCTCGAAGGTAAGGGTGAGGAGTGAAGGTATAGCCGCAACCCACACATAGATCGTTACCTCCGGTGACCCCGTGATGCCGTACTTCTCTCACCCCGCGTAAGTAATCCTCTCGAATCGTTGTTTTCTCATGCCTAGTCCACTGGAGAGAACAAGGCTACTTAACCTGTGGGGTCGTTCCAGGCTCAAGCGTCAATTAGACGACGAAGCTATAATGCGTTGCCTCTTACCCGTCGAGGAACCAGCCTTAACATGATCGTGAGTGTGAGAGGCAGTCAACACGAGACAGTTGGCGTTCATGACGGGGAATAGTCCCATTCCCCAATAGCTCTTTCTCGATTACGATTAAAACCTTCCTCTTGGTACTCATTGACCTCGGTTTAACATGTTGCTTCAGATCCCCTTCAGTGCCGCAACTCTTGGCGGTTAAGTGGTCTACTTGAATTCCTCCCGGGAAACAGATGGACTACTAGGCTGAGAAGGAAGCTTCAGCAGACCATATCAGTGCTTTCCAACCCCACGGCCAACCTCGGTTTGCCTCCTTGAGCCCCCACACCCCGCGTCTCTTCCCCGAGTTCAACTAGGCCAGGGAGAAGTAACCTGGACGAGGCCTTGCCCATTTGTAGTAAGCTCGAACCGACTTCTTGGGACAGTCAGAGACACGTGCTACACATGTTGCTTGTCTGCCCACGCACATATCGATCTTAGGCTATGTTTCTAATTCAACGACATCTCCGTGAGCAACCGTTATAATCTGCTTTGAGAAATGAGCAAACGTCCCCCGCTTGCGCCTGTTCTAGCAAACTTTCTCTCTAGCCAGAAATTCAAGTATGTCCCGTAGCATTTGTGGGGAATGACAATGACCAAGCCCCTCGTATTTCTTGAAAATGACCTCGCACCCCGCCATCTGTAATACGCTCGAGGCGTCTTCGGCGTACCGGAGCAGCACGTTATCATCCTCGGTACCGTGACCAAGAAACACGGGAATTTCATGTACGCGAGGTTCTGAGTTGGATTCCAGTCGCGGAAAACCTATCTCTTCCCGTAGAAGGTCCAAAGCCTGTATCAAAGGCGTGGCTTGCGAGCTATCTTCCTCGTGGGAAAAGGGGTCCCAGGTGTCAT